GAGTGGCTTCAGCAGAATCATAGAAGGGTACCGAGCTAGAATGAGTTTAAGAGAGAAAGGGAAGAGAGGAAGTGGAGATAGCAAGTACGAAAAAGTTTTCCTGTGAAAGGGAAGAGAAAAAAAGGATGGTTGCTGGAAGGAATCTGGGGTCTAGGAAGCATTATTTTTTAAGATGGTAAATATTACAGCCTGTTTGCCTGGGAATGATAGTGTAGAGAAGGAAATGTGATGAAGCAGAAGAGATAGGACAACTGTAGGAGTGAGGTCACTGGGCAGGCAGGAGGGGATGGGCAAAAATGCAGAACAGGCAGAGGGGTTGGCTTTATGAGAGACCACAGTCATATTTATCTGTGTATTTCCAGGGTCTTGCACAGAGATCAGTCCATTCTAGGGCTCTCAAAAAAATGTGTGTTAAAGGAATGAATAAACACATGTATTCTTGAACAAGGGCCCTTCCTCTTTGTACTAGGCTATGAAGAAAAATACAGATTGCTTCATACACAGTAAATACACAACACTATATTGAGAAATGAGAATCACCCAAAAGCAAATAACATTAGGGCATGGAGTGGAAAAGAAAAATGAAGATTGCTATAAGTATAATTTCAGATCAGAATTCACATCTCAGGAAGTAGGTAGAATGGGAGGTGACGGGAGAAATGTTTAACTGACCAACCAGTATTATTAGGCAGGCACAAGGGAAAGCACACACGCCAAAAAAAAAGCCTCCAGGAAAAACAGAGAAATGAGAGGCAGAAATGTCCAGTCAGATGACTGGATCAGTGTACCTATCGTGATTTTCTAAAAGCAATTAATATTGAACAATGAATGATCAAGATATATTACAAAAGAACTACCCAACCAGCCTGGGATCTGTTGGAAGTCCTTTGTCATGCTTATCATCTCTGGGATTGCCACCTGTGCCTTCCTCTCTAGAGCCTGGAGGAAGGTGTGGTCTGTATTGACGTCCTTCCATCTGCTCCTCTGTGGCATTCTTACTGACAAACACTCAGGTCACCAGAGTCTCTGCCCACTGAGGATCTTCAATGTCAATCATCTTCCCATTCAACCTAGTGAACTCGAGGATCTGAGAAAATAAGTAGCAGGAGCCCATTGCCAAGAGATGCTGGGCTCCTGATGGAATAGCTCAACAAACCTAACACATTTAAGGACTGTTCTGTCCTTTCTTTTTAAAAACAGTTTTAATGCACATGGAAAGCTAACTGAGATGATCCTATCAGTACACATTTTTTCCTTCAGCATTCAAACAGATCCCTTAGGGCCAGCTTTAACCGGCAATGTGATGTCATCTGGTATACAGTTTGTATCACTGGCTTTTCCAAATTAGTATTTCATTCTGCTAGATAGTTCAACTGTCATAAATGCCTTCTACAGTCACCCACCCCACGCTGGGGAGGGTACAGAGTACAAGCAAGTCCAACACTAGTGTCTCTCACTTCCTGTCATCAGAGGCTCCAAAAATGAAAAAGAGTGGGGGAAGAGGGAAAAATCTCACTGGAAGTGCGTTAGGAGGGCCAAAGTTGAATAATACGACAAAGATGAATGTCATATTACCCAATCTAGTGCAATAAAATCTTACTCAAGAAATACATTTCAGTCTTCTATATTGTTTGTGATAAAATATTAATTGGAAGATATGGCAAATTAAAAATATAAATGTATATTTATTTGCTAATCTTTGTAGGCCCAAGATTTTGTCTTGACTGTGGATCTACTGCTGAACTGCAAGTTGTCTTTCTTTCATATACCAAACTCACTGTTCATAACCTGTTTTCCAGTTCTATAAAGAAAAACAAAAACCTGAAAACATTCATGAAGTGATCTATGTGCAGAGTCCTGAGA